CTGGGTGCTCTGCAGCAGCCCTGGGGAGAGGCAGGTGAATAATTCAGGGAGAGGAATGTTTGAAGTGTGTGTTTTGGGGGAGTGTGGGTGGCAGGGCTGTCTCACCCTGCAACCACGGGGAAGGAGGGGATCAGGGGAGATTTTCCAGGTGCTCAGGCCCTGTTCCACCCTGCTGGGTCTTGAGGGACCTTCGGGAAAGCCCTGGGGACCCATTCTCTCATCTCCACACAGCCACCTGCGGTGTCAGCCTCAGGGCATCGGGAGCTGTTGAGGGCTGAAGGCAGTGGAAGGGGGAGAGGGGAGGGGCACCTTCCCCAGGGGACTCCTGGCTCTGGGTCCAGAGGGATGGAGAAGAGGGACAGAGTAAGCAGGGGCAGCAGAAGCTGTGATAGGCTCCCAGATGGGTTAGAACCATGGACGGCTCCAAGGCAGGGGTTCCTGTCTGCTGTCCAGGGTGCTGCCGGCTCTTAGACCAGATGGGAGCTATGCATTTGGACGAAATCCCCTGCTCTAGAAGTCCCCAAGGCAAGGCCCAGGCTCCTTTTCAAGCCTCACTCCACTGCTCCCCATGCCCGCCCCTCACACACACCTGCAAACAAAGCTCCTTTCAATTGCCCATCCTTGATGCTGCCCTCCAACGATTTTGTTCATCTATTTACAAACATTCATTAAACATCTACTATGATTCCCCCTGCACAGGACACAGCAAGAAGCTAGACAGGTAACTTGCTTGGCCACATACAGCCCAAAGTCCTGACCCCATGTGCACAAACCCAGGAGAAAGGGAGAGAAGGGAGGGAGTCAGTCTTTAATCCCCGTTCCTTCCTTAGGCTGTCTGCCCTCTCAAACCCTTGGTTCCCCCTTCTGCCCTATGGAGCCCACCATCCTACCCAGCAGGGCCATGGCTACTGTCCTTGTTAGTTACAGTCAACGCCTCTTCTGAATGTCACGAGTGGGTCCATTCATTTCACTTTCACCCCAGCCTTGACACACACACACACACACACACACACACACACACACGTTGCTAACACCATCCTTGCTTCTTCTCTGAGGAACAGGAGGGAAAGCCACTTGCTCTGGGTGAGTGAGCTGGTACAGGTGTGGCAGTGGTGGGATTTGAACCCAGTCATTCTGGCTTTGGCTTGGTGAGTTTGAACACGATCAGATGTTGGAGGGGGGGGGCAACAAACCCACTCGACTCTGCTCCCCAGAGCTCCCAGGTGCCAGACGCCAGCCTAGTGTTGCCAGTTGGCAGAGCTTCTCTTCCCCACCTTGCCTGCCCCCTGCCCCACCCTGTGCTAAGCCTAGCTCTGAAGAGGCACAAAGCATAAGAGCCATGGTGGGGGCCTTTCCACTCTGCCTGGGTCAAGGATCCCCTCCCAGGCGGCACTGGGGTGAGCCCCAGTGGCTCCCCCACCCCCCTCGTGGGCTGGAGGCCCCATCCTAGCGTTGACATTTCTTTGGTTGTTCATGTCACGGCCCTTCAGTCTGCGCAGTTTTACAAATGTGCTGGCGAGATGAAAGGCGCCGGGAACAGTGACTGCAGAGCAAGTTCGGAAAAGCTTTTAACTTCCAGCTCCCACGGACAGAGAGGGAGGGGGACGACTGAAGGGGGAGAGTGCAGGGGGGAGGAGAGGAGATGCAGGGAGGAGAGGAGGGAGGAGAAGCAGGGAAGGGAGGGGAGGAAAGAAGTGTGGAAAGAGGAGAGGGAGATGGGAAGGGGCCAGGGTGAGGTCAGAGAGCCCAGCGACACAGAGGGACAGCATGCAGGATTGAGAGCAGGGGGCTGTTGACAAACAGACAGAAATACAAGGATACACGCACCCAGAGGGGGAAGGGAGACCAGGAGACAGGACAGAGAAGACTAGAAAGAGAAGGAAGTAGAAAGACAGAGAGACAGAACTAGGAGGAAACAGACAGCCAAAGACACAGAGACTGGGTGGAGGGATGTGGGGACAGGTAGGAAGGACAAGTGAGGACACACATTCAGAAAGCATCAGAGAGTTCCCTGCAAGGCTGCTGGAGGAAAGGAGACAGAGCCAGGATCGAGGGTGTCATAGAAGAGCAGACAAGACATGTGTATTGAGCAACAGACAGACACAAAGACAAGCGGGATGACAGAAAGCTGTGCTGGGGCTGTAGGCAGGGACAGAGATGTAGGTGAGGCCCTGGGGGTCTGAGGAATCAGAGAAAAGAGAAGAAGAACCAAGGAAAGGAAGAACCTGGACCTGAAAGCACAAATACACACACACACACACACACACACACAGGAATAAATATATGAATGCACATACATATGCATACACATACGCACAAACACATACATAAGTATTCATATAAATACAAACAGACACATACACACACATAAACATACATATATGCATGTATGTATACATACGCATATACATACATATACACACACATACACACATATACACACATAAATATATATACACATATACGTGCATGTACACACATAAACACACACATAACATATACACACATACACATATAAACACATATATACATATATAAACATCATACATACATATAAAAACACACCTTTACACATGTATACATACATAT